CCCCCCCCCACCCCCTGGCTGTGCTGCTCTGTCTACCATGTAGCTTAGCCTCTCCACTCTGCGTGATAGCGTACTGCTCCCCTGAAGCTCGGCCAGCGCCGGCAGCCTTGTCCTCACAGAGATGTAGCTCTCACAGATGCCGTGTGTGTGTGTGTGTGTGTGTGTGTGTGTGTGTAGCAGTCGCTCAGGTTGGGCCGTTTCTGCGAGCGTAAGCTACCAGCAGGCCACCAGGGGTAGACTCAAGGCCTGGCTGCCACGTCCAATCGGCGGCCTCGGTTTATCCGTGAGTCAATCTGCATCACACCACCACCAAAGCGCGCAGTTAATTGATGAACAAGCGCTGGTCTAACGGGGCCCCACGATCGGGCCCGGTTTTTCACAACAAACGCTTCTGATTGGAGTGTAAATCTCCAACACCGCGAGATGAATACAAAACTCAAGCAATGGCGACAGATGTTACGGCGCCGATTACAGTGGAATCCCAAGGAGTGGGTCAGCTTTCTAATTTTACTGTTTAATTGTCTGCCCCGATCATCATCTGTGCGGTGTGGGGATAGCGGGACGCGGGGGAAAGCCAGAAAGCAGGAAAACAGGACTCAGACGTCAGCCTGGAACACGGCCTGTCACGTATGACCAGCGGGCAAAACGGAAACTTCAGTGCACCAGTCAGCACGGCCAAAACGACAATTCGATTTTGGCTGATGGCAGGGTATTTAAAAAAAAACAATCAAATAAAAATGCACGCCGTCGACATTATTGCTAGCTTCGTGCACAAATAAACTCCGGTAGGCACACTCGGAGGGGAACAGACACGCCTGACAAGTCAGCAGCTGCCATAAGAATGTTTCGCTGTCCCAAGAGGAAACCGTATTTATTTGAGAAATTAGTAGAAAAGGCTGCAACACGCGCCCCCCGCGCTGCCCCCTTCTGGCCATGGGAACAGGTGCGCACTCCCTCGCTCTGAGTTGGGCTGAGCAGCTGATACAGTGACCTTGGCTCCAGCTAATTATGAGTGGGACACCGGGGAATGCGTGTTCCCCCTTGGTGATTTATAAACAATTTTAACAGTTTTGAACTCTATTATGACCTTAATTAGTTTGTGATCCTTCAGCCCCCCCCCACCCCCCCAGCTCCCTCCTCCCTTCGCCTTGATCTCCGAGCTGCCAGAGGATGGTGAGAGCGGAGGCGGCTTAGAAGCAGGCCGTTAATCTTACTAAGGCAGCGCCGCCGTGCATTGTGGGTAAGCAGGCCGGGTTCCAAAGGAGCGGCAGCATATAAATCAGAGCACGCCGGGAAAAAGTGAAAGTTTAAATGAAAGCAAAACCAGACTGATATAACTGGGTGCTTCATCACCGGCAAAATAATCAATGTGAATGGAAAACGCTGTAACCTGACGGGGGAGCGGTGCATTCTGGGTACCCAGCTGTGCGTGCTCTCTTCATTGCACATGCCAAAAACGTAGCACGACGTCACTGCGGCCCTGCCAAATCTGCTATGGGGTGCATGTCAGGCATCAGCGGACTCTGTAGCACTCAACAGGGGGCACAGTGCTCAAGGAGCAGGCTCAGTAAGGGCGGAAAAATAATTGCATCACGATATTTGAGATTTTTCCAATCGTGCACCTGGAAAAAAGCGTTATGTGACGGAGCAAAGTAGCAATATAGTGGAGCAGTGGGTAGAACATAGAGAAAGGTCCGGCACCTCACTGTGGAGACTAGGACTGTATAACATTTCAAGCCATAACCTCATACAAACGAGAAAGTTCGGAAGCAAAGGAGCCGACTAAAGACGGTTTTCTCACACTGCCCCCTGGTGGACAAAACTTTTAATCCTCCAGATCTACGTTAAATATACGCACAAATGTAAGCAGCAATACCGCTTGTGTAGCAACATCACATGTACGTGCAGCGCTGTAAGTGTGGAGTATAAACCTAAGACAGAGGCTCCAGCGCGCTGAATGTGACGTGTAATTTCAAGGAGTTTGGTGAAGGTGCATCAGAACCATTTAAAGACGGTGACCTTTGCTTTTGATGCTCGGCGACTTCCTGAGCTCCGATAAAAGCACTGAAAGGTCGCCCCCCTGTCCCACCCCCCTCGCCAGTACCGCGCAATTTACTCAAACTAAACATCAGTTAGGAAAGGGAACCCTGGTGCAGCCGGACTGTCGGGGATCTGGAAGTCCACTTCACATGTTGTTAGCAGGAGGGCCATCGCAGCCGCCCAGAATCTTCCGGAATGGGCGGGGGGCATTTAGGGGTGACCCTGGGGAGCTCGACACACCATGGAGCCCGGGTATGGGGGGGGCACACAGCCAGGGCACAGTAAGTTACTGGGTGGAAGTGTGTCGATGGTGTCTGCGTGTGTCCCCCGGCCCCATGTCCCCCCCCCCCCCCCCCCGGCCCCCCCCCCCCTCCCCCTCCCCCGGCTCCGTCCCCGTCCCCCCCCCCCCCCCCCCCCCCCCCCGCCATACCTGGATGCCGTCCAGCAGCTTGCTCANCCGGCTCCGTCCCCGTCCCCCCCAGCCCCTCCCCGCCCCCTCGCCATACCTGGATGCCGTCCAGCAGCTTGCTCATGCACCAGAAGCTGTCAGCTTCAATGTCGCGCAGCTCCTGCTCCTTCAGGCTGGACACATCGAAATGCTCCACCTCGTCCTCTAGGGGGCAGAGTAGAGATGCAGGGGGACTCAGTTTCATGCTGACGACCTTTGACCTTCGCTGACTCTCCCACCCCCCCCGTCCTAACCTCCCTACTGTCCACTGTTGCCATGGAAAGTCAGGCAGCAGCCGGAACCATTGGGAGCGCTCTCAGATCAGGCCCACAGAGGGCAGGCTGGCCCTGGGGCACATGCTGACTGCAGCCCGCCGTGGAGGTGAGGCACAGCATCACTCAGGGTCCAGGGCAGGGACCTGGGGAGGGTCCAGGGGAGGGATCTGGGGAGGGACCTGGGGAGGGTCCTGGGGAGGGACCAGGGGAGGGTCCAGGGGAAGGTCCAGGGGAGGGACCTGGGGAGGGAACTGGGGAGGGACCTGGGGAGGGTCCAGGGGACCCAATACAGATGGAACCAGAGGACATCCCTGGTGCCAGACGAGCCACCGGTCACCACTAGTCAAGACTGGCTAGTTAGCATCGCATAGCATCGCTTAGCATCGCATAGCATCGCATGAACAGGCAGGCTTTCTTTCCTGGTGGGGTTTAGGGAGGAAACCGCAAATGCAGCAACAGGGATGGGCACACCCATGCCATCGCCCAACTCCCCGGCCAAAGGAGATGGGCTGCCGGCTCATTACAAGGGCAAATCCATGTCATGCTGTGACGCCAGCAGCAAACTGAGGGGACAGGGGACGACCTCACAGTAGGGGGGGGCGGGCACACACACTCACTTCCCATGTCCAGCTGATTCCAACTTTCTTTTGGTCTAGAGCGTCTGACTGGACCGGCACTTTTGGTTGGCAGTGATATTATGTGGGAACTAATCAGAAATCTGATGGCTGTGACACTGCTGGGAGAGGACACACCCCCAAAAGGTGAGGGACTCGGCATTTCATGTCCGCGGCTCGCGGGTAATCGGCCTCGCTGCAGCGACTGGCCGCACCCCGAGCCTCCGTGTACCCAGCTCTGCTTAATGGGCACTAATTAGATTGCACAGAGCTCTAATCAAAAGTACAGATAATTAATGAAGGAGCTTTCCAAGCTAACCGGGCTAATCGGCCTTTTAGCGCCAGGAAATAAGCCGACCGGCTTAAGTGTTTCGGGAATATGGGCATGGCCAGGGGCCGAGATGGAGTGGGCGTGACTGGGCGTGAATGGAGTGACTGGGAACCTCCGCCAATTGTCTGGGGTGCATTCAGTGAAAAGCTATGTTCTATCCTCCAATGACAGAATCTGTCCGGGAGGGTGCCAGCGGGGCCAATCCTATAATTAGCCAATAATAACTTTTGAATTGGGGAATGACAGGGCAGTGGGCCAATCAGCTTTCAGGTGGGGCCAGTTCCCCTGTAGTCCCACCCCTGGCTCCCTCTCGATGGCAGACGGCAGAGCCACGGCTGGTCAGGGATAATGGCCACCAGATTCGCCTCTGTTCAGGTGACCGCAAGCCTCCTGCAGCCTCAGAGCACAGCGGACTCCCTCACATCGACAATCATCTGCGTTTGTTCACTGGGAGAACTGTGTGTGCAAAGGGACAGTATTAATCCCAGCGAATTCAGGTTTGGCTGCAGGAGCAGAACTACATGTGCAAACCTTTAACCTCTATGCTCCTGCTGCCCTACAGTATTCACAACAACACTGCAGGATTATTTGTTTGCTGTGTGATGGATCAAGCGAAGATTTATGGGCAAACTAAAACTAGCTTTTAAAAAGAGGAACAAAAAAATTGTTTCAAAAAAGCATATCATCTGCAACGTATACTGTGAGTCCATTAAGGAGTTAATGCAGCAATGAGGCAGCAATGAGGCAGCAATGAGGCAGCAATGAGGCAGCAATGAGGCAGCTACAAATCACAGGGATTGAGAAAGACGCATCACCGTCACCACCCCAAAGCCCAATGACCCCATAACTACGAACACTGTATAAAGGAAGTATCTGTGTTTTCATAAATAAATTAACAGGCGAGTAAAGGTCCAACCAATCATGTGGCCTACGGCCTTTAAAAAAGGCATCCTTAATAGTTACAAATGACATTAGGTCAAGTCTGATCTATTGCATTTGCAAAAAAGTCTAATTTTTCAATTCATAAATCTGTGCAGAAATTCAATTTATAGCTTTTTATAGCAAACTAATTAACTAATGCCCAAAATATTCAATAACTATGATTAGTCATTAAAAAAAGTATGGCTTCATAAAAAAGACAAGTTCTCTATTAATTTCAGCTCTACATCACATTATCTGTTACGTTAGATATAGAACTATAAAACTAGATTAATGTCAGCCTGTACCTAGCACAGCAAACTGTAATTGAACTTTCTGCCGCACAAATTTAATACGCGCTACGCTTGGATGGATAATAAATACGATCATATTTATACCAGCGTAACGAAACGGGAAACAGGATTTCTGCACGCTGACATGGGCTTCACGCAGACCGCGGTGGGCTCTCAGCTCGGTCGTCACGCAAATCGGGCTGGCTGCTGACGCCAGTGTCTCTCTGTGGCAAGTCGCGTCATCTGAGGGAGCAGCTCTTTGACGGCGATACGTCTAACTCGCCAAAAAAGTGCTGTAATCAGGAGACGACGGAGGACCCAGCACAAGGACGGGCAATCTGGACAGGGGACAGGCTGACGGGAACAGGCATTAAACGCGTTAAAGCCCAAAATAGTCCTTTTTAGCCCAGCCTAACTGGCACCTCCCCGATGACAGGGATGGACCTCCAGCAGAATGCCGATAACCACACGGCCACAGAGGTGCACAGCTTCCCTGCGGAATCCGGGGCCAGGCGAGCGATCCAGACGTGCAGCTTCCGTATCAGGCCCTAGTCTGTCAGGATGAGATGCGTCCGTCTGGGAAGGAGGAATTAGGCGCGTAGGACACGTCCCACAGCCTAGGCGAGGCAAGGTTTCATGGCCCAGACATCACACCGTGCCGGGGGGGCGGGGGGGGGGGGGGGGGAGATCACAAGTCCTGCTCCATGGTTACTGGAAGACGCCTGGAGTCAGATTATTTTGATGATAACGGCATCTGAGCACAGAGGAACATGGATGGAGAGCAAAAAAAAGGAGGAGAAACTTCCAGAAGGGACAATCTCCTGGGAGAAAAGGGCAAGTCCAGTGTATACGCTGTGGCACAGGTAGAGGGCGCTACCAGGCACCTGCTACCCTTTCAAAAGTTGGTTCATGTGACAACAGAGAGTCTTCCTGTTCCTGGGCGTGGCTTGCACACTGCGGCACGGGAAACCCGCTAAAGAGCCAAGTCGCCAAGACTGGATTCTGAACATGCCCTGCGGTGGTCAGGTGACGCCGTGCACCCACAAGCAATCTCATCTGATTAATTCGATGGATGATTCCCGTCATTTTAAAGCACCACCTATAGTCTAGATGCCTAAAATACTGCATTAGGAATTAAGGGAAAGGAAGAGGAGTGAGAAAGAGGGGAGAGGGATAGAGGAGAGGAAGAAGAGAGGATGAGGAGGAAAGAAGAGCGGTGGCGTCACCCTCACCCTGCCCCACGTTTCAGCCCCTGGGATCTGACAGCCCCCCCCCCCCACCTGCCAGAGCTCCCCCATCAGACCTGCATCACAATCCATCCCCATTCAGGAGATGGATAGGTGTAATTGCTTTGTTTGGATGAACAGAAGATGGGACAGCATTCTTTCTGAAGGGAGGGGTTTGCTCTTTCAGCCCCCCTCCCCCAAGTTATTAGTTATATTTAATTCTTATCATCACTTTTGCTAAATATTTTTAATTTCTACGGAAACTTGTGTTTATTGAAGCAAAATATATTTCACATAATTATTGCCTTCTGGTAGACAGAAGGCATTTTCTACGATAAACAGTTTCTAAAAAATGCTCATTTAGAAACTCAAAGATCTCAGTGACAAGCAGGCAGTTCGTTAAATAAATTAGGGTTGTATCTACAGCTCTGAATAATGGCTGAAAACAAACAGCTCATTTGCATGCCTGCCTTGGGGGCCTGTGATGTTGAACTACAAAGACCCCTCAGTGGGGCCCCAGTACATCATGTGATTCCTTGGGCTTAAGGACAACTCACGGCATTCATGTAGCGTTTGAAAGAGGGTCCTAACACGCCCTAATGACCGTGACCAATGCAAACCCAAAGCAAGAGCAGCACCATTGAACGACACCCAATTTCACACACTGCTGCCTCTACTGGTTGTCCGTGGAATTACAGTCCCCAGGCTGCCCTGCCGGCCAGCCTTCGGAACCAGTGCCCTGCAGTACATTCTCCACCCCCCAGCCATGTACGCGATCCCCACACTCACGCAACAGCACAGAGACACGGACGATCGGATCAGACATGATCTCTCATCTGTATCCTTCATCGTCAGAGGTGAACACTTTCAACAAACAATGAATCTTCCTGACAGCAGAAAACAAACAGCAAGCTTCGCTTAACTGGAAACAGGCTCCGTAATCATACATCTGTCAACAGAAGTGTTATACACAGCTCACAGCCACCAGCAATCACACCAACAATCAACAAAGCCACAAGAGAGCCGGCTTAATTTACCATCGACTTATAACATACAATTTAACGATCTTTCGCCTCCCCTTCTAAACTTCCTTAGAACACAAAGTGCTTTAAATGAAGCGGCAGGATTACAGACATCGTAAGAAATTTTTATTGTCAACCGAGGACAGGATCTAAATAAATATGCTAACAGCTCTCCGAACTCCATCGAGCTCACCGGGCCGGCTATGCTGACAGGAAATGAGGCCAGCCCCCGCCTAGCGTGACGAGAATATCTGTCAAGCTCCCGGCCAAACAATTTCCGTGGTTTTTTTAGCAGACGCACCAAACCGAGGGGCCGGGGTTCAGTCTGTCCCAGCCAGGCAGGTGGGCAGCAGACGCCCAGTCGGGGGCTTCATACTCACCGATGTACTCGAAGACGAAGACCACGAAGAAGGGCGTGACCAGGTCATTGATGCCCTGCACGTAGCCACTGGCCGGATGTCGGATAGCCCAGATGAAGAGGACCCGCTCAAAAATCTGATGGGGCGAGGAAGAGGAGGATGAAAGCAGAGCCAACGTTACCCACACTTACAGCCGTGTTAGGTGTTAGGGTGCAGAAAGCAGGGTATGCATCCATCACAGCTGGGGGGCCCTTCACTCTCAAAAGCCGAATGAGGTTGTTTAGGGTTAGTAATGTTAGTGATCTGGGGAGGGGTTGACATGGCCAGCGCTCTACAGGGAGGCTGTCAGAGAGGCGTGTAACCGCGTACGCCCGCATGTCGCACCGCGTCACACGATAACACCCTCTGACGAGGCGCTTACACTTCCGGTAGGGAGGTACAACGTCCCTTCCGGCACGGAACTACAGGCAAACTAAAAAGGATTCGTTTGCGCTTTCCAGCCTATCACAAGCTTTCCGGAACTTGGCATTCCGACTGCCTGATTCCCTAATGGCGTCGAGAAATTCATGGCAGTTTGGACGGGCTGTCAGACAGCCTGGATCACAGGGGTTAAAAGCTGAACCTCTTGCACCAGTTCCTATGTTTAAAGCCAGTCTTAGTCGGCGCAGTGATCCCGCCGCATCCAGCAGGCGGCCTTCTCCCAGATCGCACGGATCAATCCGGCTCGCCGCTGATCCGAGCGCCGCTCTCCAGTGCGCCTCCCCTCCACGCCAGCGAGGCCCTGGCAGCCACCACCTTGGACAGCCGCTCAGCTAAGATACTAAACCCGGCCGTCAGTATGACGTCGCCTCCGCGTGGGGTCCAGATCTACCGCGATGCCGCAGGAGAGACTGAGCGGCTGGAATCACTACCCCACCGGCCTGCGCCAGGCGTGGGATTTTATGTTTCTGCCGAGAGCCGGAATTCAAAACAAATAAAATTTACATTTTGCAGCCAAGTGTCTCATCCTGTTTTGATCTGTCAGACGGACACAAAAAAAGCAGATGTAACATTGTGAGGTAATGATTTTTTTTGAAGGGGAATCAGACTGAAAACTGTGTGTTCGCACAGCCTGGAATCAGGCACTAATCAGGCAGCGTTCAATGCATGATCAGGTCCTGGCAGGACCCCTGAGTCCCCAAGCCTCACTGGGGGAGCATCTGCCTGGGTGCGGGGGGGTAGAGGAGGGAGAGGCTTTTCGGGGACCGGGACGGACCTGTGACTCAGGGGGGGCATGATTAGTATTCACCCTCAGTGGCCCCTACGCCGCGTACAAACAGACTGAGGCATTCACAGCCGGCGCGCAAACAAGGCGGGAAAATACGCCCAAATAATGAAAGGATCTGTTTCCGTGAGAAAACAAAACGAAAGCAGGCTTTTCCCCCAGACGGCCAAGTAAATAGCGAAGCACCGCCCTGTCACCAGAGAATGACGGTCATGTTCTAGGGTATCGACGTTTTGGCCACGCAGGCTTGGCGATGGTGTGTGTGTGCGTGCGTGAGCAGGGGGACCCCGGCCACAAGGGGGCGCATCTCACCTCTTGCACGGAAGCTTGTTGAAAGAGAGGAATGAGAGGATTAGTTCTCGGTATGTCAATGTGAATCTGTGGGAAAGAACACAAAGAAACCAGCGGAGGAGGGGTTAACCAGCGAACCAGCCAATAGAGGGACAGAGGCGGGTTAGTGGAGCCCAGTTGACCAATCAGGGCCTGCCTGACAGAGAGAGAGGAGGGGACAGTTGGGCAGGGTGACTGCAGGGGTGCGATTGGCATGCTTCTGGGGGTGGACCCCCCCAGGCCTCGCCTCGCTTACCTCAGTGACCCTCGGCTGCAGGATTAAACTCTCCGGATTCATTCGGGGAATATCTATGTGGATCTGACAGCATGGAGAGAGACGTTAACACGCGGGGGGAGAGGCCGCACCGGCCTGAGGTGACAAGACCCAGTTCGCACACCCCCACACTCAAGGCAAGCGAGAGTGGAGTCACGGGGATCCTTTGAGGGGGGCTATGGATGGGGCATGTCACTGGGCTCCTGCTACTGCAAGCAGCTGATTGGACAGGAGGAGATCCTGGAATGCACTGCTATGTTTACCTTTAATTTATACATATTTGCTGTTCATGAGAAGGTGACGATACAAGGAGAACTAAGAGTCTGGGTTTGGCCCTGCGGGGGTGGGACGGCACTGCCTTTGGTCCGTGAGACCTCCCTGTGTGTGTGACAGCCTTGAGGAGAGGCAATTATTGACACAGATAACAGTCTTGGAGCAGAAGGACCTTCATTTAGCTACCAGCTCACTATGGACTGTTCTAGAACATTGTACATGTGAGGCAGCTTCCTCAGGGCTAAGGCCATTACCTGTCTGTAGGTGTCCTGGTGGTGTTCGTCGTTGCGGGAGTCGTAATACTGCTCGATGAAGCCGAAGTACTCCTGCCTCTTCCTTTGCAGAGTACTTTCCCGCCGCTCGGCGTTGGCCGGGAGGTAGCCCTACGGGGAGCACGGAGGGTCAAACAGAGCGCACGGTCAGGGTCGAACCGATTTGCTGTGAGAGAACAGCAAGGAGACCGGGGGAGAGTGAGGAAGGCAGAGGACGGAGAGGAGGAGAAAGGATGGTAAGGAAGGTGGGGGGGGGGTGGCGAGAAAGGGGGGGGGACAGTGAGGGGGGGGGGCTGGGAATAGGGAGGAGGGCGTTGAATGGCGAGGAGGGTAGGGAGGAGGGCAGGGGGCAGGGAGGAGAGGAGAGGATGGCGAGGAGGGCGGAGGACAGGGAGGAAGGCATTGAATGGCGAAGAGGGCAGGAGCAGGGAGGAGGGCGGGGAATGGCGAGGAGGGCAGGGAATAGGGAGGAGGGGGGAGGACGCCGAGGAGGGCAGGGGGCAGGGAGGAGGGCGGGGAATGGCGAGGAGGGCAGGGAATAGGGAGGAGGGGGGAGGACGCCGAGGAGGGCAGGGGGCAGGGAGGAGGGCGGAGAATGGCGAGGAGGGCAGGGAATAGGGAGGAGGGGGGAGGACGCCGAGGAGGGCAGGGGGTGACCCCCAACCATTACACAACCATGACAGATATTCCACACTGAAGGTGTAGAGTGCTAATAAATCCACACCAGCCTGGGTCTCCATCTCACGGGACACAACAAAACCGAAAGCCAAGCAGTGGGGTACATCAGAACGTCCCCTCGCAGGCAGCACATAATAACACAGGTCAAAAGAACCTTCTGGAAGGAAACGGCCCATTTCTGTCCGCCATCCGGCGATGATTTCATTGCCAAGCTGAGCCCTTGTTCCCGATCACCGGCAAAATGCAGAGCAGATGTCGGCAGCAGAAAGGGCAGAGTCTCCAGATAAAATAACTGATTACCGGAGAACTCAGAGCTGCAGAAATCCATTAATCTCCCGACCGGCTCCCCATCCAGATGAATGACAGTGCCGGACACTCTCCACAGTAAGATGTATGCTCACTGTGCAGCCCCTTCACACCAGAAAGGGGGGCAATTAGCACCAGTCAGGGCAATTAAGCTGCCAGCTTAACACACTTTGTTGGTTTTGGTTTCCAAAACACAAACGCTATGGATTTATAGGTGCTGTGGAACCAAGGGGGGGGGGGAGGGGGGACATGCAAGATCCTGTAACCTGCCCCCCCCCCAGACCACAAATGCTCTCTGTTTCATGAGCCCAGCCCAGTCACATTCATCTTCAGACTGTGCGACCTGCAAATGTATACGAGACTCCACAAACACGCCGCAGCGTGAAGGATCGTGAAAGCATGGTACCGATCCGAAAAGGGCTGCCCAAGCACAAATGATTTATTTACAGAGCATCTCCATAAGACTCGGATTAAAAGCATGTCTGTAAACAAGGCCCTCGGAGCTTCTGCTTCTGACAAATGGAAAAAGTAATGAACAGGCTAGAACAAAGACTCCGGCATATTCCCACATTAATGTGTGCAAGTTGACATCGATGTTTACACCAATATAAAATATGCATCCATATAAATAGGAACAATACAGAAGGTGGTTCACAGCGCCCCACGCAGGCAGAACAGGGTGCCGTCCTCACAGCCCAGAGCCTCCAGGGGGCGATATCGGCAAGGCAAGGTCCAGCGGGTTTCAAAGGCCGGCATCAAGGCACGGCGGGATGCTGATTCCGGAAGCTTCCGAGGTGCTTTCTGGCCAATTATTCCATTATTACTGTTATTATGGCTATTATTACCTTTTACAGAGTCGGGAATAATCCGCAGAGGTGACCCTGGCATCCGTGTCTCTAGAGAGATGGACACCCCGGTACCCTGGGACACGGCCTACCACCACGGGAGGCGTCCCCTGGGGGGAGATCGATATGAGGGCAGGGAGGGGGAGCCGGACAAACCAGCGGCTGCATGTGTCAGGCGTGTCCGCGGGCCGTGGGGGCTGGGGAGACGAACGACTAGGAAAACGGGGGTGGGGGCTAAACAATGCAGAGAAGCCAGAACGCGGCAGAGAAGCCGGAAGACGGCAGAGCCCTTCATCACGTCCCTCCGCCAGCTGTTAGCAAGCAGGAGGCCATTTGTCACGCCGGCCACCATCAATATTAACTAAATGGGAAACAGTGTTTAATCGGCTGTGAGGCTCCGTCCTTCAAGGTAAAGAGGTCCGGACGGCCAGGTGGTCAGCTCCGAAAAGGAGGCCGGGTCTTACACGAGACTCACGGGGCAGCGAAGCGCCGGGTCCAGCAACAGTTTCAAACACTCATCATTAAAAAAAAAAACGGCATATAACGAATAAATAAGCTGAAAAGGTCTGGATATTTCTCTACAGAGAAAAAAATGTGCTTTTCAAAATGTAGAAATTAGCTTTTACAGTTCCAGCAGATTTACTATTAAATAATTCAGGCAAACTGCTGTAAGAAAACCCTGTCAGCATCGTAACTGAGCTGGGATATAGAAGAAGAAGAAAAAAACAACACATAACAGAGAAACGCGTCCGCAGAGCTGCAGATCACACCCTCACGAGACTGCTATAATCCCCCTTATCGCCCATCGCCGCATGTCAGCGGACGAGGTCACTCCTCCTGGCTTTCAGAGCCCAGAGCCCACACTAACCACAGGTGAATACAAAGACCCTAGCTGAAAGCTGATTGGCCCTCAGGGTGCCCCCTCCCCTGTCACACACCAATTCAAAACACATCATTGGCTGATATGGCTGGCCACTCTGGGCGAATTACAGCCCTTCTAATGCCCTCCACCTTAAAAAAAAAAAAAACCCAAAACTGTCCCTGTTGCAAACCTTCAATGCATTCAGCAGACACTTTTATCCAAAGTGACAGACATTTATAGAGAACTCCAGGCTTAAGGGTTAAGGACCTTACTCAGGGCTGTGAAATCACTTTGCAGACCTTGGGATTTGAACCAGCGACCTTCCAATCACAGATACAGCATCCTAACCCACTGAGTCAAATACAGGGCATCTCCAGTACAGCCATTTCGTTTGTTGTTTTTTTTGAGGTTCTTTTAGTTTCAGGAAATCAGACTGACACAAAAGACACGTGGTGCGATGATGCTGAACACAGATGACCGGAACCATCTGATGATGCAACACTTCCCAGCCTTCCCCGGAGCTAAAAGCACCTGGATCTCAGACTCTTTATCACCAATTTTTCCTGTTTCTTAGGCAATATACTTTTAGCTTCCATTAAGTCATTATTTTCCAGGAGCGGACTGACAGACAGGAATAATTAGCTGTGAGTTAGCCAGGTAGCAGCAAGGTGTTGATATGGCTGCGCCTTAAAGGGACGACGCCTTAAAGGGACGACGCCTTAAAGGGACGACGCCTTAAAGGGACGACGCCTTAAAGGGACGACGCCTTAAAGGGACGACCTGGTCTGAGTAACCCTCATCTGGTGAGCTAGCTTTACAGATCCAGGGTTATCCAAGACACCCCCCAGACACTTGGCGGTCAGGCCAGTGGGACTTCAAACCCCCTCGCTGACAACTGCTATATAAATGGCGCCCCCTTCTGGTTGTCTGCCATTACTCTACGACCATTTCCATTTGTCAGGATGATCGTCCCCAATAGGCACCAAACCACCAGGGGGCACCCTCACCCCCCATGCCCTCTAAGGCTCCTTCTTGCTCCCATCCATCAGAAGAGCCCAGCGGCCCAGTTCCTAGCCCCCCCCCCCCCCCCACCTATCCGGAATCACAGATGGCACGCAGGAGGGGAGCGGATAAGCACCTGCAGCTTAATTATATCAAAGCAATATTTTTACAATTTTTCCAATTCTCTTTATGGGTCAAATAAAAAGATTTGCTAACGATGCAAGACACATGCAAATGAAAATCAGATTTGTCCTGCTTCTCCTTACCCACCACCCCCCCTCCAAACACTCACAGACAGACGAACAGACAGACAGACGAACAGACAGACAGACGAACAGAAAGACAGACGAACAGACAAGGATACATGAACAGACGAAGATAGACAGATAAGGTTACATGAACGAACAAACAGACAGACAGACAGACAGACAGACAGACAGACAGACCCCCCGCCATGGCTCTGCCAGACCAGCTAAGCAGTCAGGACAGACCCCGTTAACCTGCAGAGGATCGGGTTCTTTGGCCAGGCACGTCCTGAGGAGCCCATGATCACGCCTTCGCATGAACGCATGCAGTTCGTGGAATACAAATGTGAGCCGTTATGGGGAAAAAAATATTTTTTCTGGGGCAGGAAATCGCAGTGTATCTTGACACAAAAGCAATGTAAAGGTCACACGAGGGCTTGGGGGGGAGGCAGAAATTCACAGCCTCAGAATTTAAATGCTGAACTGTGTCCCGCACTCCTCAGCGATGACTCTCTGTCTGTAGGGGGGGAGGCCGACAGGACCAAGAAGAAGCAGGCCATCATTGCGAGCATGGTCATCTACACCACCATGAAGACGCCAAGAGTGGACATCGAGCAGGATGAAGGGGCTCCATCCCCCAAGACCAAAACCAGCACCGAAATTCTTGTAGCCACAATGACTGACCAGTAAATCATCATCCAACCACTGGGAACCCTAACAACCAGAAAATAAATATGGCTTTGGGCTGCAGTGTGATCAGATTTCGCAGTCACATGACCCGTCGCGATCTGCAACCGTAGGGATAATTAGCGGGACTCCGCCTCAGAGGACAGCTCCGCAGCGCGATTCCGCTGGCCCCTAATGACCCCGCGTGAATTAGCGGGACTCCGCCTCAGAGGACAGCTCCGCAGCGCGATTCCGCTGGCCCCTAATGACCCCGCGTGAATTAGCGGGACTCCGCCTCAGAGGACAGCTCCGCAGCGCGATTCCGCTGGCCCCTAATGACCCCGCGTGAATTAGCGGGACTCGATTCTAACTGTCGGAAAGCAGTGGAGACGTGGTCCCAAGGAGAAGGGCGTCTCTAAACAAAGACGTGCCGGCTGGTGAGTCTTAACGAGTCACCACTGCGGGCGTCACGCTGCGTTTGTGACAGAGCAGAGACAGGGACGGTGGCGGCCCTTTGGCCAATTATCAGCGAGCAGGAAAAGAAAGAAAAAAAGACACAACGCAATTAGCGGGAGGAGGAGAGAAAGGGGCGGCGATGGCGGAGGGACACTCACCGAGAGCAGCTTCCACGTGATTGGCCGGACCTGCCGAGGGATCCCAGACCAGCTCAACTTCCGTAGCTCTTCTGCGAGTAGAGAGGGGAGAGGGGGAATCAGCGCAGGTGCTGGGGAATTCCACACAATGACTTTGTAAGCCGGAGCACTCGACAGAACGGGTGGCCATTAAGGAGAACCGCGGAGCCGCGGCCCATCCCCCACGCCCCCCCCCCGGCCCGGCCTGGCCCTGGCACAGAAATAGCACCCCACCAAGCTCTCCCGGGGTCACTGTGGACCCCAGACTTTAGAAGCCTCAATTATACCCCCCTTTATCTTCATCCGTATTTCTGTTGAGGAGAACAGGGGTAATCCTCTGGTGAAAAGGCCCAATTTACAGCGAGCAGAGCCATCTTCACTGGACTATTAATACCCCCGCAATTCAAAATCTCCTCCCTGCTCTCCTTTGACTTTCTTTATGGGGAGGGGGGTCACTGACTGAGGGGTGACCATCTCTTAGTCACAGCTTACCGTTTACAGCCCCGCCCCATTACACCCGTGGCTCTCAGGTGACCATGACAAGTGAACTGTCACAATACTTATCTGTGGTGTTGCGGGGAGAGGGGGGGCTTTTCATTTATTAACCCTTCTAGAGGAAAGGTAATCTCCCCAAATCCAGCCAAAAAAAAACTATATCCTTCCCCATCAACTTGATCAGCCGTCATGTCAGTCTGCGCTCAGATCAGTTTTGTCAGAGGAAAAACAGGTTAAAACAAACAAATAAATAAATATATGTTTTGATCAATAAGAGGAATCATATTTTTGTGAACAGTGGATAAGGAATTACGGAATCATTTGGAAATTCATTTATTTTCAGTGCATGTGGGTTATTCAGGAACAGTGTGCATTGCTGAAGAAGGCTTACAGATAGTAATGCATTCAAACTGAATGTGACTATAATGGAGCGAATGCACTAAACCAACCGCGCAATGCTTAAGAGATGAGGACCCTAACCATCTAATCAGGCCTCATCACACTGTGCCAGTTAATTAAGCATCATGGGGTTTCCTTGGAAACGGGAAGGATTCCATGCTGAAATCACAATCAGATCAAAATGAGACTTTGTGGGAGATGGCCATGGGAAAATCACGGAGAACCATCACAAAGAAATCACGAAAAACGTGGAGGGCATCTGCAATCCCACGCCACAGATTAAGGCAGAGAAAGCAGGGGCCCACAGATTCGGCCTTTATTAACCTGAGGAAGCACACATTCCCAGCATCGCCTCACTCCAGGACGGACAGCAACCTGGAAGACCGGCGTGCTAAATGAGCCACAACAGACGTGGCACTGGGCATTAAACTGGGTACAGGACCCCAGCCACAGAAGCGGAGGCCTTCTCAGTCATCCACCTCCAATCCCGTAATCTGGTCCTGCAAGATCCAAATCAAACAGCACAGAACCCCACACAGTTCTGTGGCCAGCTCAGTTAACGCTGTCCTTCATGACAAATGAGTAACCCTGTGAAATGCTCATATGGGTCACATTCGAAAGGTAAAGGAGTGCGGCCAAAGCACTGCGCCTACACTACATGGATTACCATTTTACGGCCCCATGTCACACGGTCACTGCCACCCGGACAGCGGAGGACACACCGTCACTGCCACCAGGACAGCGGAGGACACACGGTCACTGCATTGCCTCATACTCGTATTCTTTGAAACATGAATTTAAAAGGCCACAGGAGGAAGGAGGATCTACCCAAACATTTGCAGATGGAGCATATGTGTGTAGGAGGAAGGTGAGGGGCTGGGGGGTACGAGGTGGCCGTGGCCACTGCTGACGAGGGGGCGGACTTGACTCGTTTAGCAGAGAGCCCAGCGTGGTCGTCGCCTCTCGCCTACACATCCTCACCTGCAGCGTCAGCCACAGGAGTTACCTGATGGATCTTACGGACCACCAGGTAATTAAACGATCTGTTATAATCCCCAGCATGACATTAATCATGCGGTAAGGGAAGCCCGAATCGCACCCCCAGCCCAAAGGACCCGTCACCCGGCCAGCCAGCTAGCTGCTAACCAGAGCCTCCATTGGATGGGGGGGGGGGGGGGGGAATCACACTATGCTGTTTTTCACATTGTGTGAGTTGAACGATAAAGGACTGGATAACAATGTGACACACACATCACCAGAAACCGGTTGGGGGGGGTCTCACACAGAATCCACCCCACCCCCAGTGAAGCCTGCTCCATGCAGTGCGGGAGAGACACCAAACACCCCCGGCAGGAGCAGCAGAGGCGCACCAGGACAGATTCACACCCTAAACCCGCTTTCCAGAAGGTTCCCCCGACACAAAGGGAGGGAAAAAAAAAACCATGAATAAGTAAAGCGTATGAATCCACGCCGGCGATGTGACGCGCGGAGCTTGATCCGGATCACTGGCCGGTACATGAGACGCCCCGGATACAGGGGTAACATTATTGCAGGATATCAGACGGGGGAAAAGGTTTCATTCACAATCCAGCAGGCAGGCAGGTCGCGCTGACGGAGCGTAACCATTTCACGGCCTGATCAAATGATTAATTAAGTGTTTACTGACACTGAATGGAAAAGACAGCAAGATCTTAATGCTAGATCACTCAGGTGGTACGGTGATGCCCCATCCTGCCGGCACAACAGTGACCTCCCACATTCCCAGATCTCGGGTAGCAGATCACACAGCACCCAGCCTGTGCTCACATATAACCGCAGGCTACACAGCAGTCCTCTATATGCTCATCACACTGCCGCTCTGCCCCGTAACGCCACCTCAGGGATTAATGAAGTTTATCTAGGAGTGTCACAGGGCGGCCATTTTAATCAGGGGGAGAGAACAGTGCAGTTATTTAAGCTCAGAAAATATGGATGGCAGCTGCCCTGCAAGCGTTACGGGTCAACGAGGACGAGGCAGGGCTGCCGGGGACGTGAGACGGCATTGGGGGTGGGGGGCTCACACGCGGCCATGGGGCCGGCTGGGTCTGCCTGCGAGAGGGAGGGCGGGGCCACGGCCGGGACAGATCAGCAGCGGTCAGGTCAGGGTGGGGAGGGGCGGGCGGGGCGGGAGAGAAGCTGACGGTCCAGGGACACGCAAACGTTCAAACGTGCCAGGGAATGTCCAGCAGGTGGCAGATATTTAACCATAGGCTCATAAATGAACAATAGAGAACACGCTCGATTAACAACACAACCCTCTCTGGCCGTGGAAATCTCCTCCCCCGGCGTCCGCTGAGTAGTGTCCCCCCCCCCCGGCACCTCGTTCTAGTCTCCCCTTAATAAACAGAGTGCTGCTTGCAGACTCCTGTCCGCGCCGCACAGCTCTGGCTGCTCCCGCACGTAAAGACCTTTCGTCGTGCATGTCTTGGCAGAGATGGGCTCCAGGCTGGCGCTGAGCCCCGGGGCCACGGGAGGGGGCCCAGTGCGCGGGCTCCCAGAATTCCCAGCTTCGCCGTGTGACACGCCCCAAGCTCATAAACAGGGGGTGCTCTTGTAAAAAGGTACTCTGCTGTATTACCTGTGCGGGGTCAAAAGAAATAGCGCCGGGGGGGGGGGGGGGGGGGGAGAGAGTGGACAGGATCCTGATGTTGCCGTGGCGACCCTAACGAGTCCTTTGAGCTGTAAACTCTCCTCCACTGCACTGTTTACAGGATGCATCTCATAAACGATGCCCGTGTGTGTGTGTGTGTGTGTGTGTGTGTGGGGGGGGGGGCATTCACTGGGAGATGTCAGCACCCTGTCTTAAAACAGAGGGGAAACTGGAGGTTACAGGGCAGGAACTGGATTCCAGAGACAACAAGAGGTTCAGCGGAAAAACAGGCAAGCCCCCACGTCCCTCGCACGATTGATGGCAGCACAGGGGCCCAGATTGTGGAGGAGTCAGTTATCCTTCCGAGGCAGGATCCGGTCCATGGGAATCGACGGGCTACACCAGCCCTGATAACGAAGCGGATCACAGAACCCGGCGTGAGGAGCAGACGTGCTGCCAAGGTCACTCAAATGCTAATTTTTTAGGTCCCTTAATCACCTGGCCCTTAATCTCCATCTTTCTTTCCCGTCTCACTCAAGCCAAGATCAATGCAACTTCCTGTCTGAGATGGAGACGGCCGATTTTCACACAACGATCCGACGTTTTACGGCGAGCGGCTCTGAAAATGATAAAAGGGAAGGCGATAAGAGACGCAAGCGCTCCGATTCGCCAGGGCTCCCCATGGATGAATGGATGGACAGATGGACAGATATCGACTGAAGTGGTCAGGAGATAAACATCGATATGCTTAACAAGGCTGATGGATTCAACAACACCACACAATGTTGGTTTTTTTTCCTCAGTCTCCTCACCTGTTCGGCTTAGAAAAACAAGTTTGTGACACTGACACTTTAATAAACAGATTATTCTAATGTTCCAATCCTTAAGCTTCCCATAAATTCCTGCCGCTACAAAAACCCAGAAACAAAGACAGATGGTTTTCCAAAGTTCTGGGAATTCTACTGAACTCGCCCGCCGAAAAGGTAGTTAGGATACTCATGTGATGATAAACAAGCGTCCCTCAGAGAACGTCCCAGCAGCAGCCACGAGCAACACCGAGCGAAAACGTTGCCTTTCCTGCTTTGTACTGGAGGCGAGAGACCCAGCATTACCGTACACGCAGCAGAACCGTACACGCAGCAGAACCGTACACGCAGCAGAACCGTACACGCAGCAGAACCGTACCGTCAGCGGCCGGAAGGAACAGAAACACCAGCGATCGGGTAGCTGAGATGTCAAAGGCAGTTTAGTTAATTATGTTACATGCATTGCAGGGATTTTGTTTTTACTAGATATTTCCATATTTAAGGGGCAGGCAGGCAAGCTGATGCGCGCGCGCGCGCACGCACGCACGCACGCACGCACGCACGCACGCACGCACACACGGACCACAAGTTACAAAGCCCCCAGGGTTGGGGAGGGTCCCCATGCTTTCCTTGTCAGGCTGCCACCCGCCCACCTGCCACAAGCGGCACTGCCCACTGGGCATTCCGGCCATCAATCAAACAACCCCTGGCAACACCCAGAGAGACACGTGCTGGAAACCGTGTCCAAAGCGCTCCCAGCGGCCTGGGGGGAGGGGCTAAGAGAGAAGCCCGTGTGCATGTGCTTCACCCTGGAGACTCCCATATATGGCAGATGTCCCACACGAGGTCATAGGTCCGACAGCTGACATCACAAGGCCAATCAGGCTTGCCTATTCACACTGTGGGCCAAATCAGGTCCGCCCACTCACACCACATGGCCAATCAGGCTTGCTTATTCACATTGTGGGCCAAATCAGGTCCGCCCACTCACACCACAGAGCCAATCAGGTTTGCATCCTCACACCATGGGCCAAATCAGATCCACCCACTCATGTAACATGCCCAACCAGGCTTGACTGCTTAATTACTGGGCCACAGATGCCCTCTTCTCTCTGATTGGTTTTTAGATTCTGAGATGACTGTTCTTAAAAAGGCCAGTGAAACAAGGCTTCACTGCCTAAATGGGCTTTCTGGGGCTTCACTGGTGTTTTAAATTATTTTTACATCAGTCCACTAGCTTGTGACAGCCGTGTCTTTCGAAGAGAAGCCAACGCATCTCAGCTGCACAGGGCCAGCCATCGCCACTGCCAGGATCTGGAGGGGAGGCCGCCCACGAGGAGTTAATAACATGGTACGGAATCGCCGCGTGGGAGGGGAGCGTGGAGCACACTGGGGGCTCCCTCAGCCAAACGGGGAGCAGGAAGGGAGCCGTCGCCAAGGCAACCACAGCACTGGCGCCAGGATGGAGACGCGACAGCCCGACGGCGGGAGCTAGCTGGGGCCCGGATAGCGAGAAAGGCTCCCAGGGGAGTGTGAGGTAGCAGGGAAGGGGGCGGAGTCAAGCCAAAAAGGATAGTGCTTCATATTGACAGGTGATACAGTCAAAGCAGGTGCTGGTAAAGCCTCCAAGCCGTCAGAGCTGCGAAACCAGCTGCGGTATGTCGGGGAACTGGGGCTACGCAGGTCAAGGTAGAGCAGGGACAGGGGAGAGTGAGCTAAGGGACAGCAAATCAGTGCGGGGGCAGGGGGCGGCGAACAAGGGGACGGCGAGTCAGGGGACGCCAGGGCCAGGGGACGGCGGGGCCAGGGGACGGCGGGCCAGGGGACGGAGGGGCCAGGGGACGGCGAGGCCAGGGGACGGTGAGGCCAGGGGGCTTTTCACAATCGAACAAAGCACTTCGTCTGAGTGTGAATGTGCTCTCAGTGCATCCAAGACTATACTCCACATGGTCACATTTATTAAACGGCACCAGCAAGTGCTCCCCATTTACGCAGCTGGATACTTGATGGGAGTAAATGAGTTTGTGTTCCCTGCTCCATCGTCCAACAGCCGCGCTCCTGAGATTGAGACGGTAACAGCTGCAGGCCCTGAATACCCTGATACCTGCAAATGATTGTCATTTACTATGTCCTGTGACTGCACTGTAATCTGGGTCAGAACCGCTGCAAACGCAGACACCACGGGAGAACAAGCAAGGCCCTGACTTTGAAATGTCCCCTAACTTGGTAAGCGGGGGAAAACTGCAAGTCGTTACGGACAGGTCTGAAAAATGTCAGGTGGTAACCAGTAAACAAGGCAGCCATCCATCTTGGGGGGGCGGGGGGGGGGTTAATGCAGGAGAACCCAAATCCCACACTAGAGGGCAGCGTCTCACATTATTCCCAAAGTAAGATGACATAAAAAATGCAGTATCCAAAAAAAAGTATGTTTTTGAGAAAAGTGTATCATCAGGGTGAATATTCAGCTTCTGGGGGGCTTGCGATGGAACAAGGACCCCCCCCCTCCCCCTCCCCCAAAGTGACAACAGGCACCTGCTCCACCGTCCCCCTTAATTATGCGCATTCAATTAAGCCCATATTTCACAGTGCCTGCAAGGGCAGTCGGTCTGCTCCGCATCGCCATGGCAGCTGATTCCAGCGCAGTCCTGGAGGTGCCCCCGCCCCCGCGCTCATGTGCCATATCCAGATGGGGACCCGGAGGGGAGGGCCCTCGGGCCCCCGGGCCCCACGTGCCACTCACGCCTGCAGCTGGCAGAGGCCCCCCTGGCTGCTTCGACACGCTACGCCTAATTAGCCAATCACAAAGCTTGGCAAGCGACTGTCGGAAGGCACCGGCCCCGAGGACCGCAGGGGGATCGGTGCCGAGATGCAGGTCGGACATGGAACGAGGACGGCTGCTCGTTTTAAATCCGAAATAACATCCCCCTGAAGGGGGCCCCCCTCATCCTGCAGTGACAGGTGTTCAGGTGCCAGGGCTCTGCTGGGCCGGGCCGTCTCTGCTCAGGACCCCCCCGGGAGGCTCAAGCTACACGATCGCGCAGAAGGATCACAAATGAGCAGTGCAAACTAAATCACGGCATTTCAATGATGATCTGCGTTTAGGTCAGTGTTATTACTGACAAACAGAATATCTCACACACAGAAACACAGATTAAGAAACAAGCAAAGGCTCCCAGTGAATCAATGAAATTAAGAATTTCCATTGACGGCCTTAACTCTGTGATTTTATTGCAGTTAATGATGTCAAAGCCTAAACCAACACAATGGACAGAATCTCAGTACAGACTCTCACCATGTGACACTATAACAGTGTCACTGTAAAGGGAGAGGGCAGAACAGCAGCATGCCACAGCGTTACAGTCCCAAACAGTGACACTGTAAGGGGAGAGGGCAGAACCACAGCATGTCACAGCGTTACAGTCCCAAACGGTGACACTGTAAGGGGAGAGGGCAGAACCACAGCATACCACAGCGTTACAGTCCCAAACGGTGACACTGTAAGGGGAGAGGGCAGAACTGCAGCATGTCACAGCGTTACAGTCCCAAACAGTGACACTGTAAGGGGAGAGGGCAGAACCACAGCATGTCACAGCGTTACAGTCCCAAACAGTGACACCGTAAGGGGAGAGGGCAGAACCGCAGCATGCCACAGCGTTACAGTCCCAAACAGTGACACTGTAAGGGGAGAGGGCAGAACTGCAGCATGTCACAGCGTTACAGTCCCAAACAGTGACACTGCAAGGGGAGAGGGCAGAATGGACACTGTAAGCGGAGATAGTACTGGAATTCTTCCGGAGACTGCTCCCTCCCCACACCAAAGATAAACATGCCTATCATCTCATCTGCGCTGCCGATGAGGGCATCTTACCGAGGTCGGTGTTTGGTCCGGCCAGAACCTGCCGGAACTTGTCCAGGCGTGACGCTTCCCTCTCCGTCATGGCGGGGGTGCCAGACGTGTTCTGGTCAGCCATGCGGGCCACCAGAGGGACGACGGGGCGCTGGGGCAGGGAGCGCTGCCGCTGGAGGGAAACCTTCTCCTCAATACCCTCTGAGAAACAAAACCAACATTACGACAGCCCTCTGTCCAGGGATCTAAAGCAGCTGAGGCCAATGTGACCAAAGAGTGTCCACCATGATATGATGAGGGGGGGCTATCACAGAGGAAAGGAACAAGCTTTGGGCTTTCACAATAATGATTTTATAATAATGAGTTTTTTAAATGAATATCCACAGTTATATATTTATTATATTCATAATTTCTACAGCTTTTTTAATACCATTTTGATCGGTACCCATGTATGAGGTGTATGTTTGATATTTCTGCCATTACGGTGGCTACCGGTAAATTTCGGAGACCTTGTGTAAACTACTCGAACAATGATAAATCAAAAGTCCTTCATAAGCTGATTAAATTACAGAAACAGCTGCTCGCTACTGAGCTTCGTGAAAGGTAGGGTTAGGGTTTTGCAAGAGTGAGAATAAAGGCGGTACTCATTGGAAAGAGCCTCGCATGGAAGCTGGCGTGTAAAAGGCACCATGACAGGGAGCTGGGAGGCTTTAGGGGACCAGACTGACCCCTGGAGAAGCCGATGTGGGCCTCGCTCAGTGATTTCACCATCCTGCCGCCGGGGCTGGCTTCTGTCAGGACCGACCCGGGACTTGACTCCTCCCCTTCCTCCTCGGCCGGCGGCTGCGGCCGCCACTGCAACTCCTCCGCCACTGCCGACTCACGCTCTTCATCCTCCTCCTCTTCCTCTTCATCCGCCACACCCTCCTGCTGCTTCTGTAGTTTGCTGTGGTTCTCGATCACCTTGTTGGCCGTCTCCATGACGACCTCGATGTTCAGGTTGCGGGCGGCCATGGCCAGCAGCTCGTCATCGTCATCCCCTACGTCCCAGGCATCACTGGTGATGCTCTCAAACTCCTGGAATGTGGTGGCCTTCTTGGGCTTTCCTGGTGTAGCCGGTCCCTTGGTCCCAGCTTTCACCATACTGAGAGCAAAGCATATGAACAGCGGTCAGACTACATACACTTCTGATCCTAGGCAAAGTGCACATAGCTAAAGAAATGCAGCCTGCACTTCATTTCCACCTGATGTGTTTGGCCAGGTATGGATATTCTGACACAATGGAGTTTGCCCTACATATTCCAAACCATAATAACATGTGCACACTTATTACAAACAAAACTGGCAGTTCTGTCTATATTATTTGTTCACTACACACTATTTGTGTGACAATTGGGTTAAAAGAAAGATTTTGAAAAATTTTAATTATGTAATTGAGGTGAACACAAAATTAGAGAATTGTTGCACTGTACTGATGCTAACAATAAATCTAACTGAAGGTGAAATGAAATGACACAGCAGCAGAAAAAAACCTTTCATAAAAAAGAAAGGAAAGGAAATTATTGTTTAAAGTCTCGCAGCAACAAAAAAAAAAGAAATCTCTTTTCAAGATGAC